AATCATGCAGAAAGACACGTGCGAATGTTTTCCAGGTTATGTTCAAGTAGATAAGGGGAGAGAGAGTATGAGAGATCAAAATTAAGATAAATTGCATTACGCTTCAATTACATCACTTAGATAAACGAGTAGTCATAAGAGAATATAACGAGAATTGCAAGCAGACTAATATCAACAGTAATAAATCTCTGAAAGATATTTTATCTAAGAATGGATATCCCGAGAAGTTCATTAATAAGTACTTTAAGAAACTACCCCCTGCAAAACAATTCAAACAGTTCCAAAGAAACATGTCTATATCAATTTGCCATTCAAAGGAAATGACGTACAGGAAGTAGTGAAACGAAGACTCGACAAAGCCATCAAGAGAACTTATTATGCTGCAAAACTTGTTATCCCTAAATCCACCAAGCGAGTGCTTCAACAATCTGGGAAAGACCAGTCGCCAATCCTCGACACTTCAAACTGCATACATCAATTCGAGTGTGTTTGTGGCAGCAAATACATAGGTCCTACGGAAGGGCGATTCGCATCATGGAGCATTTGTCAAAATGGTTGAAAGCAGCTGAGTGCAAAGTGCCAAAACCCTCAATAACAAAACATCTTGTGGATTACAGACATGATATCGACGTCGTCAAGTCATTCACCATTGTCAGAAAACAAAGAAACAAGAAGATGCTTGCAATTACAGAGGCTTGTGCGATTCGAATTTATAAACCAGCTCTCTGGTCGTCACTCTGGATCTACCATGGTAATACGTTTTACTCATTATTCTCTACTTGTTATTACTATTATTCTACCTCTTCTTCTTCTTTTATTGTTATTATTACTATCATTATTATTATTCTTGATTCATATAAAATTATCCTTTATCAGTAGGATTGTCTTAACTCACTTAAACACTATTGTTATTATAACTATTGCTATTGATATCTGTTCGTTTGCAATTCTCGTTATATTCTCTTATGACTACTCGTTTATCTAAGTGATGTAATTGAAGCGTAATGCAATTTATCTTAATTTTGATCTCTCATACTCTCTCTCCCCTTATCTACTTGAACATAACCTGGAAAACATTCGCACGTGTCTTTCTGCATGATTAATTCAGTGTAGTTTGTTTACTTATCAGTCTTATATCTCCCAATGTAATTTCAAAAGTATATATATCCGTGTATGTAGAGTATTCAGCTGACGATTTCTACCGAAATTTGATGAATTCATTAAATCCCGCTTTATTAACCTTTATTGCTTGTTTTAAATTCGTATCGGAAAATAAATGTTTTCAATTCTTTTGATTGGAGCCACTTGCAAATAATTATCTGGGTAATGGGATGGATTGTCAAGAATATCATAATCTCCCTCCATAATTTTTCGTGAGGACTCACAATGCCCACCATAGCCTTACGTTTTTGTGAGTGAATGAGCTGCACAGAGAACTGTACTTCAGCTTACAGGAACCTTGGAGGTGATCCCTATGCCTGTAAGTTGTGGAATCCCCCAGAAACTGCCGTTTTCACAGACAGTTCATTTTCAGCCAATGGGTAAGTTATTGATTTTATCAAAATATACCACAATAAAAATCTACCATGGCTAAGTGAAAACAATGCAGCTAGCGAAAATATTTAAATATGGGTAAGTAAACCAAAATGTCAAATAATGATATTCGTGCTCACCAGTTTTAAGGTACTGTTTGTGTCACTTATATGCTATTACTAAAGGTGGAATATACGATCGCACAGTCAGCTAGTGCCCCGCCTGACTTGTAAGCACTGACAATAAACATTAAGCAAAAGGACTCAGCAATATAGTAATGTGCTATGACGAGCAGCATATTTGAATAAGAGAAAGTGTTGCACCAACCTAGTGAAATATTTTGAAATTTATGCTGCTAGGGTGACTAAAAAATGGACTGTAAATGTGTGCTTGTTGACAACCAATGGGGGGAGCACGAAATGGTGCCCGAGTCCGATCGGATGCATACCCGTTAATGCAAAAAATAAATCATCTAAAGTATTCGTAGGTCGGCTAGCCATTTGTGTGTCGGTGGCACAGTAGTTAGGACTCTCGCTGACCATGCACATGGTCCGAGGTTCGATCCCCTGCCGACGCACACCTGATATCTATGGTCGGCCTGCAAAATTTGCGCTACCGATAACCATGCTGAAAATTCCATACTTGTACCAAAAATACAGTGTGTATCGAGCTGTGAATCAAAAACAAAAAAATAAATTTAATATTAGGTTGATTCAGTTCCCTTCATTTATTTTAGCTTTACGTGCATTTCGATGCCATGGAAGGCAGGCTTCGGTGTTGCTGTTTTACTTGGTTTTAGTGTCTGCTGCGCTACGTTGGAGCGAATTTGTTATGTCATAGGGTGTTTTACTTATTTAATCCACCTAACGATCTCCCTTGCCACTGTTATATCGGCTGGAAGATTTGAGGGACGAATTGACTAATCTGCAAAAGCGGAGTTTAAATACACCCACGGAATAGCGGTACACTTCTGGAAGGCTGAAGTGATACCAAGAATGTCCCATATATTTGACTCGCCTTATCACAGCTACTGTTATTTGTCTGTCCCTAGTTCCCTTCTTTTGATTTTCTTCTGTGCTCCTACCGTCCAACATGTCATTTACGCAACTCTGTCGTGACGCCTCCCACTTGTCTTTTCTGTTCATTCTCTCGACTTCCCTACTCAACTGACACTGATTTCTGCATAGTTATTAGGACTTACCTTGAAGAGTGATAGGCGCAATCCTCATGGTCATCACTGGCCACATTATAACTATATTTTCCCTTCAAAACAAACTGCCACTTCAGCAGAGCTTGAGGAAGAAAAAAAATTCTACAGAAAAGAGTAAGGCAAGCACTTAGAAAATAAAAGGTTGATACAAACTCACTAGAAGGTCCAGTATATTTGAATGAATGCAAGGGATGACCTTGAAGGGGCACATTCAGGGATTAAGGCGTGGTTCCACTTTTTGACTGTACTTGCCTATTACTGGAGAAATCATGTGTTGTTACTGTAAAATTACAAGCAGTTTGGCATAACACTTTTGAAAAGAGCGTGACAGATCGTTCATAAATACTTCAAGATAAAGTTAAAAGTTTTCGCGGTTAAAGTAAATTGTGACCACAGCGATTATCAAAATTACCGTGAGCAACCGGTCGAATGATCCTACGGTATAAAAACGTAGTTCTATGAAAATCAAAGTATGTAGTAAAACATAGTTATATAGTTTAGCGTTCTGGTATGTTGAAATAATATCACATAGCTCCACTAAGAATTACGTGGTCTAAGTCAAGACCGATTTCACTAAATGCATTCGTCGGATTGGCAGTGTTTAGAATGCATTAGACTAGCGCCAGTTGTCTCCAACCACTCCATGTCCAGCAAAAGCAGCTGTATATTTCTTTGGCATCATAACCCCCCCCCCCCATATATACATAGGCTTATATACAGGCAGGAATGAAATACTTGATATGGGAAAATTTGCAACGTCATCCATGCACTTTATATACATTTGCAGGTTTCTACAATGACTTCACCTGTTTGATTGTCATATTGGTGGTTGTTCGTTTGGTTTGCTTTCTGTTTCTCTAACTCTTTTTGCTACTATACTTGATAACCACTTAGTTACATATAATTCTGTGTTAGTTGGAACAATTTACGCAATTTTTATGAATTTCGGTTTCTTGTCTCTATAACAACCATAGGATTTTTTTCCAGACAGGATATGAAACATGATGAAAGTCCAAAGAAAAAGCACTTGAGTTACCGATAGGATTTTACTGGCATGATAATTTGGCGAGAAGTTGACTTTTGTTCTTGAGATATTCAAGGCCACTAATTTCGACTACTCACTATTAGACTCACTGAGCTTATTGGACCATTAGTTCCTAATAAATTGACTGGATGGCAATTTAGTAGCCTCATTATCTTAAAGCCTAACTTTTCGGTCTTTTACAGGGGCTTGCATAACTATGGCTGGAGAGTCATAAATTAGAGAGAATCAACCGCCCCTTCGTTATTATTAGACTTCAGACTGATATTGGTTCACGGATAAGTCCTTTTTGGACATCTAATTCAGCTAAGCTACTAGTTCTTGGGTAACTCATGCCAGGAACGGATAAATTCATACCTTTTGATATAACCACCAAAGAAATGTAACTCATGTGGTATGTCGACTACCAACCACTGAGTCGTGAATACCTAACGTCGGCCACATACCCACGTATAGGCAGTCAGGTAGTATCATCAGCATGTTGTTTACCCTGAAGTACGTAAAAGAGCGAATGGTTGCTTATTATCGTACGCATTGATGCACATCACTTCGGTAACATCATTTTATACAGTGCATGTAACCTGTCAAAACCTCTGTTGGTGAATTGACAATTTCACCTGCCAACCTACCATACACGCACAGAATTTTGCAGTTTCCAACGGGTGTGACATGAAATCCAAGGGATAAATAATTAAGCATTATCTAGAAATACTGTGATTGGTACCTTCAGCGTACAAAGTTTTTTTAGAGATGTTACGTGGTTACGGTATGTTAAGTGATGTAAGCTATATTCGTTCCTATGTTTTCGTAATTGGAGGAAGTCTGTAAGCTTTAATAAGTAACGTCTAACTCTTCACACCAACATTAGTGTTTGCCTAGGAAGAATTTATGATAATTTTCCCTGTAGTAATATGTAGCCAATGCTCAAAATAATCAATTCGATTAGTTCCTTATGTTCCTGGGTAACATTGGTCCTCGTGTTCAGAAAAAAAACAATTTTGTTCAGGAATGACTTTTGGGTGACCGTACTCGCACTATCTGTTTTGGCAGTTGAATAAAATACTCCATCTATCACCTAGGGTATTTCGAATTTTCACAGGATTTTAATGGTATTTATTTTACTTAATAATTGCATTTTAATTCTCAAATGATTATCTATAGTAATTTTAAAGTTGAAATCTCACTTTTCATAGCTTTTAGTTAGAACCTTGTGACATGAATGGTGCAAAGCGTTCATTTAAATTATCTACTTTCTTAATTTCTACCGGAATTCAATCCTTCGATGAACTACTTGGTAAGAATGTAGCCGATACGTTTAATATCTATTGATAGGAGGTGGTGTTGCTTCACCTAGTATAATCCTCATTGGTAGGTTGATTGATAATTTCCAACTCTATTCCGATTTCAACTTCAAGAACCGGATTTTCATCAAACTTATTCAAAACTCCTTTTAAATTTGTTTACTGCCGAAGGCATATTATCAGGACATGCTATATTCTATGGTGCCACTGAGACTTTCGATAATCTTCTGTGTGTAAGCTTATTAGTTAACTTAAATTTTACAAGTAACAAACCTTTAGAAGTTACCAGATATTACTACTTCAGGGGATGAGTCTAAAGAAGAGATTCCAGACCTCAGGATTGCTTGGCGTTACCAAAACCTATCAAATGTTGAGGTTTCGACTATCTTACTGTTTCTTTGAGAACATACTGACTTTAGAACCCCAAGCCACCTATTTCAAACTTCGGGCATCAGTTCAACTTATCTCTACCACTAGGTGCAGTTACTGGAATAACCGAGAAAAAAATATGTAGCTTTTGTTTCCAGCCGAATAGTAAAAAGCCGTAATTAATATCTAACTCCAAAGGTTTTTATTGCCTTATCCTAGATTACAAGTCAATTTATCTGATTTATCTCAGGAGTTAATCAAGTTCCAGTCCAGTTCCAAGGTTGCCTCTAGTTTGCAGCGGATTGGTTTGTTAATTTTCAGTTTACAACATTTGGTTTTTAAACATGTTCAGTGCTGAACTCTTGTGGATCTCCTCTATGGGGTTACTGCAAAGATACCCAACAATTTTACAGAACCATGTTGCATTTCTTTGCTACATTACGCCTTATTGTGCAAAACAGCTCGTGTACAGTGTTTGTCACTTTACCGACAACAAAGGTAAGTGTCCATCTGAAATTCATTTCTTACTCAACAGTTATCTATGTCCAAACCAAGTTCACTTTTAACAGTTTGAAAATAATTTGGGCATCGGGTATATGATATTCATTATAATAAAGGTCTTTGTGTTTCCCCATGAATGAAAAACAAAACGATATTGTTTTTACTGACATTTCGCTATTTAATGCTAATAGCTTTATAGCTTTATAGACCAGAATTTACGCAACAGATTTGCACCTCTCCACTTTCCACTTTCAGAGGTCTGTTTTGTAAAGCAGTCTTACTTAACTCATTTATTTTCATTAGCATATATCCCAACTGAAATACTTAATGTGATATGTTGAAATCCGGGAATTCCATTTGTCATTGATTCAAACCGAATTCCGCCTTTATTCTCAAATTCAGGTAGCTGGGTGTTGGAACTCTACACATAATATATGTACTACAGCAACCAGTTGAACGTGCGAATAGTTTTTAGCTACATTTTGGGATCTACGGGGTTTTAGAGTTGTGAAGCAAATTCAAATGTTTTATGAGGAACCTTTTTAAATTATGCCGTCAAAAACTCGTAGTCCACGATTTGTATCAGTTAACCAGGGACAGTCTTCTAATACGGTAGTATATGTGTAATGCTTAGGTACTGTATTATTATGTAGTTCTTTATTAATTTTTACAACCTCTCAATGACGATCATCAGGTATTATTGACTTGGTGACTCTTTAGCGTAAGAATCTGATGCTTCACATGATATTGTGGAGAAACAATACTGTAGCGTAAAGGTAGAATTTGAGCACTGCGATAGAATATAATTAAATATTAGATATGAAGAATATATATAGCTTCGGTGGTTGATTTTGATGTAGTTGTGTACCGTGCGCTGGGTGGTTTGATTGTGAAGCTTTCATTGTCTTTCCAAACATCCTCAGCGCATACTTCAATCTGAAGTTTTTCAAGTTGAATAAGTTCAGGACACGCAGTGGTATAATAAAAATGAAAATACATAAGGCAAGTTCTGAGGTTGTGTGAATATATTGGTATGATTATAACCAATAAATTGCGCTTGAAACGTGTTCCATTTACTAACAATGTATCACTTGTATTATCTAAACTTATATGAAGCAGCATCCTAGTCAGAATATTTTCCTTTTCTCATATTAATACTGAAAGGATCACAATGATCTGATCCTTTCAGTGGTAATAATGATCTAGTTATACCAATAAAGCATTATTTAACCATACTTTTCTTTACCTTCATTTTTTAGCTACCGCCTGGCCTATTTACGCGTATATCGCACTACTGTGATTATGTTTTTAGAGTACAAGGTCTAGGTGATCAAATAAAAGCGAACCCGGTTTATTCAGAATATGATGGTCTGTTGGCAGTTATGCGTATCCCTTGGATGCTTGGTGGAAATACTCTTGAGCCAGCTATTAGACCAAGCACACTTGATTGGTGTTTCAAGATAAAACGCCATCAATTAACAATGCAGGTATTTGTGTACTCTTTGTTGCTTGATATTTTTGAGTTGTTTGAGTATGCCTTTGATTATAAATGATGAAGTAATTGAGATCCTCATATGAAAGTTTTAAGTATTCTTTGGTCATAAATATGTTTACATCAGTTCGTGTAGAACGATGGAATTTTATGACAATTGTTTAATGATATATATGACCTTATCAAGAAGCTAGTAACTGTAAAACTAATTACTCTGCTGAATTTTAGTTATTTGGACACTTGTCAACCAGCCATTGAGACACATGTTTGGATCCATTTTACTGTGTAATGCGCAACTACATAATTACACATCTGTAAAATGTCGTTATTTAGTTGTCTTCCGGATTTCTGGTGTTAGTGGTATAATCATTTCAGATTTATTTGGGTTTACAACCTAGCCGGGATCCTTGGGATGTTAAGGATCAATAGTTCGAGACTGTCAGTTATGTAGTTTAAGATCCGTCACACCTTCATAGAAGAAGTGGTTCATAGTGATCTTCCAGATTCTAAAAATATTCACTAGTCTTCATGTAACTGTTTTTTTCCTGGTGCATTTTTTTCGTCGTTTCATTACATTTCCCTCCTTTACTTTTATTCATCCTTCTACGAAGTGTGAAAACTCGAACTGTCGCATTTCCGAGGAAAGTTTCACGTTTACTTCAGTTCATATAATTTACTTGTCTTTTGCATTTCTATATACGTTTTCATCTAAAATTATGAAAAAGTGACAGCAGTAAACCATCAGATCATTATGAAAAGTGTTTGAAACTGAACATATCCGTGAAAGCTAAATTATCGCACCTAAGAAAGTGGCAGCAAAACACTTCTTTGAACTGACTACGTAACTTTACATTAGTCACAGACAAATATTGCACACAAGTGCTATGCTATAATTTGCCCTGTTTCAGAACAGTATGAGAATTACAAAAACCAACAGTGGTAGAAATGTTAAAATAACCATCAAAGGTGTGACATCAAGGATATACTGTACAAGTGTAAGCTGATAAAATATTCGAATTTCCTCAAGCAACTCACTTTAAATGAATTCTCTCTACTTTGGTAAATTGTAAATTGTCACCCAAAATTTCTAATTCTTAGCCACCAGCGCATACGGCTGAAGATTATCAACTTGCAATTGATTTCTACCTTTTGGGTCTTGAGTTCATTTTTCCCTATATGATTTGAATTAAAAATTCGTCAGTATCATAATCGTTTGCATTCCATAGACAGACAATCAGTTCACTATAGTCTTCTGCAATTGGGTATTACTTCAGTCTGCCGCAATCTGAAACCATCATATGGTTATTGGGTGGTACGGCAATAGATAGGCGTGTGCTTGTGGTTAAGGATAGTTCAATGGAGACTATTAAAGTGTTTAAAATCTCGATAATAATAAGTAAAGACATTTATCTCTGTGATTGTGTACAATTTGAGGACGTAACCGGGATACTTAAACTTTCATATATGTTTTAAATAGATAAAGACAAACCATCACTTGAAGATAAAGACTATATTTTTGTCGTATCGTGATCCGGTGACCTCTGACTTTATTTCAGTTGAGTTAACATTGCTCTTCGCGCAGTCTTGTAGCTCGGAATGAGTAATGCATATTTAGCTGACATTATCCCAATTAACTGAGTTACTGACCTTACCTGACATACTGTTTTATGCCAACGTACAATATTTTCATATTTATAGCTTACAGTAGAAGAGAAAATTATTACTTACTTCACCCGCTTTGTGATAAGTAGGCGGATATTACCAAAGCTACGAATTGGTAAATCTTAGACAGTTTTTTATCTCTTCTGAGACGTAATCAGAAATCAGTTGCAGTTGACTCAACAACTGAAATAACTTTCTTGACCTAAAGGCAGCATTCGACTCTGTCGACCGAGAAGTTCTCTGGAGATGCTTGGCTGTAAAGGGAATGCCGAGAAAATATATTGCACTGATTAAGGCACTCTACTCGTACTCATACAGCCAGGTGAGGGCTTACGGCGAGCTGTCATCTGAACTGATGACGACTAGTGGTGTCCGTCAAGGATGCCCATTATCCCCTTTTCTATTCAACTTCGTCATAGATGTACTAATGGACTTAACCCTAAGTGACTTCAGCGACTCAGGGATTGACTTGCTACCAGGGAATAATCTCGTTGACTTTCAATATGCAGACGATATAGTCCTTCTAGGGGAGGACGCTGACAAAATGCAGAGTCTTCTAAACACCTTGAGCAGCAATCTACGAATGTTTGGCATGCGATTTGCTCCCGCCAAATGCAAGATGATGTTACAGGACTGGACTACATCGACGCCTAGTTTAAAAATAGGAAGTGAAGTGGTAGAGTACGTTGACCACTTCACTTATTTGGGAAGTACCGTCAGCCAGTGCCAACGGGTTGATATCTGGCGAAATCTCAGCACGAATACAGGGGGCTCGTTTCGCATTTGCCAGTTTACGCCGACTCTGGCGTAGACGAGATGTTCGACTATCGACCAAAGGGCGTGTGTACTGCTCATCAGTCCGCTCCGTCCTCCTTTATGGCTGTGAGACCTGGCCACTGAGAGTGGAAGATATGAAAAGACTAACTGTCTTTGATCATAGGTGCCTGCGCTCTATTTCCCGTGTAAAGTGGCATAATAAGGTGAGCAACATTGAGGTTAGGCGTCGAGTGCTAGGTAAACAGGAGAAATCAATCGACGAAGTCGTGAAGTTACAAAGACTGAAATGGTTAGGACATGTGTTACGTATGCCAATCCATCGCCTCCCTCGACGAGCAATATTAGCGGATATAGGGTCAGGCTGGAAAAAAGCTAGCGGCGGTCAAACAAAAACTTGGCATCAGTCAATGAAATCCACAACAGTTGGTCTAAGCCACGTAGGAAGGTGTAGACTTCCAGGCTGGGGTCCTCGGGACGGTAAAAATCTATGGTTGGAAACAATTGGTGACATGGCTCAAAATCGTTCTCAGTGGCGCAGATGCATCCACTCCCTGTGACTTATGATCTTCAATGAAACTGTTTTGTATTTCTTTATTACTCCTTTGTCTCACACCTCTGCTCACTGTCTCTATTATGCTTTTCTTGTACTTCATTCTCTTGCTTCGCGTGCTACACGGAGTGTGGCGACTTGAACTTCCGCACATTTGTGCAAAGTTTTATGTCGAAAACAGACAGACAGACTGAAATAAGCTAGTTGATAAGTGAATATTTATCCAATATGACACAGTCTAGGTTTTCCTATAGTTAAAACACATGGGACTTAAACTTTTTCTGCCTCTAAAGTACAAAAATAATATGGTTACACAAAGGTAACAACAAAAAAACAACTCTCATTCAAAAAAGGACAAATACATACCGAAAAGTATAGATATGTCGAGCAGAATACCTGAGCCAACTAGTGGACTGCCACAATGTTCGTCTGTCTATCGTGTTTTTCATTATTTGCTAATAAAAGGTGAGACCCCGGGGGCCATTCTACTTGACTTTCCTAAACCCAGACAACTGATTAGTATCAGCAGCCTTCACAAAATAATCATGTTCCATAGAGTCTGGTATTTGAAAAGCCTGTTTTAGTTAAACGGGTTCCACCAGAGGTATTATATCGTATTATATCACTCTTAACCATACACGCTTTCCCGCTGCGTAGGAAGTAAATTTCTGAGAAGTCGAAGTCAAAGTAAGCCACCTGCATTTGTATAGCTATCGTATCATTAAATAAGAATGGTGAATTTAAATATCCCTGGTGAATACCACCGGGTGTTATAATTTCAAATGAATACTTATCATAAACACATAAACAGTTGTGTAAGCACGATTAAGATGCTATTTCATATATTTATGAATTTGAGTAAATCAAAAAACAACAGTTTGTGAAGAGTAGCATGGTACCATCATTTATTCCATTGGCTTCTCATCAGCTGCTTAATTGAGCAACTTAGTAATTTATTCAGGCTGTAAGTAGCTGATGAGAGGCCAAATAAATGAATGATGGTACTATATTATTCTGCACAAACTAAAATGCTATTGTTGGTATGATCCTTATTTTCGAAGCAATCCTCGCAACGAAATCGTCAAGCTCAGTCAAGTTGCATTGTTTATCATATGCTTTTGCAGAATCCTAGCCAATCAGTTATTAAGTGTGTTGCGTTATTAACTTCGAAGTGTTTAATAAATTATATCTTCCAATATTAGTCCTCTTTTGTATACTTAACTCCGATATACCTAAGATTTAGGAATCGGTCAACTTAGTAATAAATTCGATGACATGATATATGCAACCAACTGTTTTATTCAAAAGAATTCAGGCACAATCACTAAACTCATCAGGTCTGGTAAGTTGTGAGTGTTCAGTGGCGACTCATAATTGATAAGACAACACACAGAAATAGTACTTGGCATTATCAGCTTTTAGAAGTTATGAACAACCTGGAAGGTAGTCATTATTTTTACTTCAAGACCTAAACTAAAAACTTCTGGGCCTGCGAACGTGAAAGAAACATTAACCAGCCTACTTAATAGTAAATTCGACAGATGGGAGTATTTTACGCGAAGACCTTTCACTCAATGATATGTCTGCATCTAATATGAAAGTCTATTCCGCTTTACAACATCACTTTGACAGAACAAAATATCAGACTCTCAGCTTGTGAATTCTAATGGGCTGGCTAGTAGTACAGTCACAGTACTGTTCGTTGATCGAAGCTAGGTACTGTTACTCTGAAATTACCCTTCCTTTCTCATGCAAAATCCATGTAACTAATCTGCATAAACGAGCTGTTGCTGTTCTACAGAGTGAACTACTCTCTTTGGATTCAAATCAGATGACAGCTTTCGATTTTTTAAAGTTGGGTTACACCACGGAAATTCCTGAGATGGATCAAAGTGCTAACCGTAAGAATTGCGAGTTGAATCATGTTGCCCCCAACTCTCCTGCACTATCAGCATATGACTGTCATTCGCTTTGGTTGAATTATAGTTAGTAAACACAAAAGAACA